ACCAGGCTAATACAATTGATTGGCTTTAACATAATATAACTACTCTAAATTTAAAAAGTACTTGGAGATAATTCATGCATATATGGGGAAAATGTGCAAACATCACACAGAAGGTCACAGCTAATGTTTCAACCTGTGAGACAACAGTGCTGCACACTATAATATAGTGGAGCTTGAATAATGAACACCTGAGCATCACTGTGCTCTGCTCTTAGTTTGTTGTGATGGGTAACATTTTATTACATATTTAGGAGTGGTCTGCCATAGTTGGTACTTTGTGACAACTTTTGCAATCAAGCAGTGATTTACAACAAAATCTTAAGCCTGGTCTATTTTCAAGTGGTGGTAATTTCCTCAACTATAGGGGGTGCCCATGTGCAAAAAACAGCAAAACTCTATTGTTTCTTTATGGATCAAAAAAAGTCATTTTAGTCACGGTTCCATCCAAGCTTGAATCCTAATAAAAAAAGGTGTAATAGGTAGCTGCATGTATAAATTAAAGGAGCAAAGCTCTCCATTACCCTTTTATTGTGCTAAAGCACGCTGACTGCGAGATAAAGATCACCCACTCAAACGTCCAGTGCAGTACTTAGGAAAACAGCAATCCTGGCCCAGCAGGAAGGGAGGCTGGGAAACTCACAGCACTCACCAACCAAATGGTGGGAACTTGCTCTTCCCTTAAAACTAATCTTMTCCAACAGGTACTCCCTTCAGAAAAAATTAACATGCAGATAATATTTTAGAAAATATTAAAACATGCAAAACATTTACACATTATTACACAGCAGGATAATCACAGTGTAAAGGAGAAAAAAACATTGCTAGTTATTAAAGAACAAGATTTATTTTTCTTTCTGCTATCATCAACTGGTAAAAGTAAGAATTTAGACCGGGTCTCGTTGCTAATTTTTGTTTTCAGGATCCATCATATGTGTGACAAGAACAAAATGTGCTGCACACAGAAACACGGTGTGATAATCACCCAATCTTTAGCGGAACACGCTGATCTATTGCACAGCACCGTAGCCAAAAGACAAAAGTAGATTTCTGATTGAAAAACAGTGACATACATATA